CCAAGGCCGACCACCGCGGTGGTGGTGGGCCACTCATCCCGCATGCCCCTTACCTTCCCTGAGCTTTCCAGGATGTTCAGGTGGACCATGTGCCTTTTTGGGAGCACCTATCTGTGTGAAAAGCTCTTCTCCACCAGAAACTTTAATAAGTCAAAGTTCAGGTCCAAACTTACTGATGAGCATCTTCAAGCCATACTGAGGGTCTCAGTTGCTTCCTCCCTCAAGCCAAATGTGGCTCAGCTGTGTAAGAGGAAGCGCTGTCAGGTCTCCGGCAGCAAGGAGCAGGAGGAAGTAAGAGAAGCCTATGTTCTGAAGAACCGCTCATGTTCTGAATTATTATTAGTGAAGATTGGCTCAGTTGTACTTTTTTTTTTTGGAATACTTGCAATCCTTTTTTTGTGGAATACTTGATGCGGCCCAGCCTCACCCAGACTCTACTTCCAGTGGCCCCCAGGTAAGTTGAGTTTGAGACCCCTGGTTTAAGAGGAGTTGGCAATAAAATTGTTTATGGCAACACTGTATTTGGAAAGTGAGATGGGAAGGACTTTTCAGAGACCATTTGGGACTCATGTTACAGTGACCAGATGCAACATTGTAAAACAGCATAAAATAACTGTAGTATTGATATGTCAATAAAATCTGATGAAATTTTTGATGGGCTTGTGCTTTAAAGATTGACTCTTGAGCAGGTCTGTGCAACCTCAGTCTCCTTTGGGGTATAAGTGTGTGCATTCTGTTCTGAGTAAAAGATTAAAAGAACATTAAAATGGTCACTGAGGAGTCCTGGAGAAATAATTTGAAAGGTAAGTGCCAATCCAACCAATCAAAATCAACCAATGATTAATAGGCATTTAAAATTGTCAAATGCTCCATTTCTATGTTTGCATTTAAGGGATCATAAAAATTAAGACTTGGGTGTCAGTGATCTTGGCAATGGTCTTTGCTCCGAAAGTGTATACTATCTAGGCAAACAGGTTCTCTTCTGTGCAAGGTAGCTCCAGAGTTGTACATCAGTGTGTAACATTCATTATAGGATTGGTCTTGAAAATACCCACACAGCTGATCACCTGTGTGGGCAACTAAGTGACCAAGCAGAAATACTCAACGAAAGTTTTTTTTTCAAGCCATAACAGACAGATGGACAGATGGATGTGCTGCAAAAGTTGCATTGGCTGCTAGTTTGCTACCTAGCCAGATTCCATGTGTTATTATTGATATATAAATTGCTGAACAACGTAGGACAGGGTTACCTGAACCCTTGTATAGACCTGCTAGTCCATGGGTCCTCAAACTATGGCTCACGGGCCGGATCCGACCCACCATACCCATTTATCCGGCCTGCCATAGAGGTTTTGGACCCACCGTGCATGCGCACGGTGAGGCGCCAGCTTGTGAAGAAAGAGATTGTTTTCTTCTTGCGAGTCCAAAACGATCTCCTTGCGAGCAAGCCAGTGCCTCGCCATGCGGCAGCTTGTGAGCAAGGAGATCCTTTTCTCTGAGCGAGTCCACAATGATCTCCTTCCAAGGATCTCTGTGCATGCCCACCCCTGCCTCGCTGTGCCCGCACGCACACACATGCCCCCTCGCCCGCATCCCCCACCCGCACCACCTTGGCAGCCCATGCCCATCGCTGGCACCTTTCAACTGGCCCCCGGTTCAAAAAGTTTGAGGGCCCCTGTGCTAGTCCGTTATGGCCTTCAGGGGAGGTCTTGTCGTCTTTGTCACCTGCTGCTGAGTCCCATCTGGGAGCGATGAAGCAAGATGCTTTCTCTGGCTGGCACCCGGCTTCTGGAACATCTGATAATGTCTACTTGTTTATTCCCTTACTTGATTTATATGCCTGCCTTTTAACCAACAGCAACCATGGCAGGTTGGTGACAAATTGTTTCCAGAAGAGTTGTTTGCTGCACCAGGCTCCTGGGGCAATCTGGAAGGACCTGGGAAAATTCATGGGAAATGGAATGAACCGATTCTTTTCTGAAGCTGTGTACGTGGAGTTTTCCCAGAGGCCTTAAGCTATCAAGTGTCCCAATACACAGTTACAGCTATGATCGGCGTTCAAGGACAATTCAGTGTCTCTGTTGTAGAGGAGCCATTAATGTCTTCCACACCATCTTCATTCTTCTACAGTATAAGAAGAGGGGTTGAGACTGTGATGCTCAAGCTCAGGAAACATCTGCCTGAATTTATTGGCCTGTAGGAGGTTTGTTTCCTTTGAAGGCAGAGACCAGCCTTTCAAGGTGGTGGTGGTGCAGAGGAGAGATGGAAGCTGTGGTGTTGCAGCTCAGTCCACAGCCTTGAAGTAGCCATCTCCCTCATGAGATTGGGGTGGGGGGGGGGTGAGACCTCTTTCTCCAGGTGGCTTGAAGGGATTGTGTGGGCACATTTTGTCAGAGAGCAGCAAAAGTTGACTCTGCGCAGGCCTGCATGGATATTTGGCCTGCCTCTGTTCAAGCTGATGTGCAGCATCTAGAAAATTGTTTTTTTCATCAATATAATGTTTCATATGCATATGTAGAGCCTCTTATAGTAAAATATATGTAGTAACATTTTTCGTGATGATTGGTTTTGTTTTGTTGAATTTTCATAATAAAAATAATTAAAAGTATAAGGCACAATTGTATACATGCTGGTTGGAGAATGCTGGGAGTTGTAGGACTTTTTTGTCTAAACATGCATAGAATTGTCCCGTTCTTTAGTTTATGATTATTGCATTACAGAAATCTTATCTAATACCTCATTCCCTCCTAACTCCATTAACAATAAGCGGTGACTTGGTTCATGTAGCTCCTATAAAGCTCAGAATATCCCTGTTTTGGGGAGATCTCAGTGGAAGAAAGAGGAATATAATACTTTTCTCAATTAGAAGTTTCTTGTCATGCCCCTTGATGTATGTGTTTGTGAATATATGATAATGCCACATGAAGATCATCTCAAAGGCATTCTCTGGTTGAACTTTAGGGAAGGGAAGTTGGCAACCACACAATGTGGCTTCTGGGAAAAAAGGTCCTGCCAGACGAACCATGAGATTATTTGGAAAGGTTTTGAGGTGGTTAGATGGAGGGAATGCGGCCAATGCGGTTTACCTGGATTTCAGCAAGGCCTCTGATAAAGTGCCGCATGATATCTTGCTTGAGAAATTGAGGAGTTTTGGGATAAACCGATGCATTTTCTGCAATGAATAGCGGACAATGATAAAGGTAGAGGTTTCCCCTTGACGTTACGTCCAGCCATGCCTGACTCTAGGGGGCAGTGCTCATCTCCGTTTCCTGGCCAAGGGAGCCAGCATTTGTCCCCAGACGGTCTTTGCTGCCGGCATGACTAAACACCGAAGTGCACCGAATACAATTACCTGCCCACCGAAGTGGTACGTTTTCATCTACTTGCATTTGCATGCTTTTGAACTGAAAGGCTGGCAGGAGCTGGGACTCACTCCGTTGTGCAGATTCGAACCGGTGAACTTTCAATCAACCAGCCCAGGAGCACAGTTGTTTAAACCACTGCGCCACCTGCAGTCCCTGTCTGATAGATTAGGGCATGGTTGACAGACCAAAAGCAAAAGCATAACTATTAGTGGGGAATCATCAGGATGGCGGTGAGTGATGAGTGGGTTCCCCTTTGGTGAGGGTGTTTAAGGATAGGTTGGACATGCGAATGGTAGGCATGTCATGAGCGGAGCAGGCTGGGGCTGGGGGTCAGACTAGATGACCTGGGAGATCCCTTCTGACTCTGTTTCTATTTTTGTAACTGGCCATGGTATGGGAGGTTCCTCTCGGAACTTCTGGCACTATTAAAAAAACAACTGCATGTGTGAAAGAGAGCGAGCGAGTGAGCAAGCAAGCAGGCAGGCTGCCACCTTCTTCCTTATGCTGCTGCCCTATTCACTCTTCTCTTCTCTTCTCTTCTCTTCTCTTCTCTTCTCTTCTCTTCTCTTGGTTACACAGTAGTTGTGATAACTAGTGTGACTCCAACAAGAATTCATTTGCCAGCATTCAAGTACAGATAAATGATGACTTATACTGAATGTATGCATCAAGTGCCTAATATGATGCAAATACACATTCATATATGTGTGCATATTTTGTTATATTTGAAACAGCAGCAACAACCCTAAGGCAGAAAGAGAGCAAAGGAGCCAAGAAACATCTCCCACCAGTTTTTTTGGCATGTTCTCTGCTTCACTTGAGAAGCTGCAACCTGTTTGTCAGTTTATCTCGCTATTTATTACATGCCGATCCCGCCTTTCCTCCTCTTCAAGGAACCCAACTTGACTTCCATCCTTCTCTTCATTTTACCCTCACAACAACCCTGTGAAGTAGGTTGGGCTGTGAATATGTGACTGGTCCAAGATCATCTTGTGTGATCCAGGACTAGCACCCTGATCTCCAGAGTCCGCAGTCCAACAATTCCACCAGGGACATCCACGGGTGTGCAGCCCACACCCCTAAACCCTCTTGCCGGGGCTCTGGAAACTTCCAAGTAAACATCCAGTTTCTTTATCTTTGCGCGTGGTTCACCTAGAACAGCCGCAGTCTCGCATCTCCCAGCGCCGGGCTGGCGGCAGACCCTCCGGTTCCTGGCTCCCCCGGCGAGCCTCCGCCAGCGCGGAGCCCCCCTCCGCCGACCTGGTGCCGTCCAGCGCTCGGGATGCAGCGGCTGGTGGAAGCGGGGGTCCAGGGCGCCGGGGGCACCCGGCCGGGGAAGGCCGCGCGCGGGCTTTGCGCAACGCCGCCGGAGCCCTGTGGGCGGCGGCTCCCTCGCCGGGCGAGCCCGCTGCCCCGTGGGCAGGCGTCAGGGCAAGGGGGTGTGTGCGGCGGGGCGGAGCCGGAGGGAAGCCGCCTCTCTTCAGCCCGCCGAGTGGCTGCTGCCGGTCGCCCAGAGCGCGGCGCGGAGCGGCGCGGCTGAAGGGACGCCGGGGAGGGGCCGAGCCCTGCCAGCCCGCGTCGCCCTTCCTGCCCTGCCGGCGGGCTGCGCGAGTGCTGCCGCCCCTCGGCTTGCTCCAGCGAGGCTGCCGGGCGCTCCCCACCGGCCAGAGCTTCTCCCATGTGCGGTCATGCGGCGGGCGCTCCGCTCCGGGCCGTGCGCGGCGGCGCTTGTCCTGGCAGCCTGCGCCTCTCTTTGCACAGGTAAAAAAGGGGGCGCCAGGAGGCCACTTGGCGACGCGGGGCGGCTTCTCTGGGGCTTTGAAACCGTTTCTTCCCCCGCTCCTCCGGAAGCCCTGCGTGCAGACCTCTCGTCCCGTAGGGTGACTAGACAGAAGGGTATTCTATACATGCGCAGGGGCTGTTTCCCTTTCAGCCTACCCACAAGCTGCTTGGCTTGCTTTTTTCCTTTTTAAAGCGTGGAGTGAAGCATAATTTCCAGGGCAGAAGAATTCGGCGGCATGTGCATGATTCTGCTGCTGGCATTTCGTAGGAAAATGTAAGAAAGAGGAGGACGTTCAAGTAGTCCGCATAAGCCCAGTGAAAGAGCTGGCGTGAGAGGCACATAAACTTTGGTACTGAAGAGGCTTGATCTTGATGCACTCGGCTCCATAAAGCTGCCGGGTGGTGACTGCAGCCCTGAGGGCAAAGGACGCACAGAGCTGAGGGAAGAAACGGCTTTTTCCTTCTTTTTTTCCCCCGTAGGACATGCGCTTTATTGCAAAGTTCTGCAACTCAGTTGAAACTCACCGCCCGAAACGCTCCGGGGCTCAAGTATGCCTGGAGTGGCATCCCCGGAGTTCGACGCTGCTCGGCATCATCTAGGCACGTGGGAAACTACTTTTGGTTGCTTAGACTGTCAAAGTGTGAGGTGTGTGTGTTTAGCCAGGAAAAGGGGGCCCGCGACTCACAATATGCCCCAGGCTGCTTGCTGGGGAGTGTAGCGGGTCTTTTTTCCTGTCCGGACAGGCGCAGGACTGCACTTCATGTCTTAGAGCAGGGGTCTCAAACTCGCAGCCCGCGGGCCACTTGCCGGGACGGGGGGGGGGGCACGGGGGAGGGGCCCTGCGGCCTTCAAAGCGCCGTCGGCCTCCGGGAGCGATGTGGGATGAGCCGCCCACCACCACCGCGGTGGAGGGATACGTGATGTGGCCCAGCCTCACCCAGCCTCTACTTCCAGCGGCCCCCAGGTCAGTTGAGTTTGAGACCCCTGTCTTAGAGGAAATGCATCCCACTCCTTCTTAGAGTGTTATTCTTCACCTGTTCCAGGAATTAACTCTAGAGGAGGGGATGCATTTGGAGGCAGAGCTGTGGTTCGGGATCAGACCCTGAAAAATCCTCATGATGCCTTTATTTTACAAGCTGTTGATGGGTGAGAGGATGAGGCAGGCATTTGCGGCCGTTCTACTGCATTAGCTCACATCATGCTTGCTGAGCAAAACAGATTTATCTGTGCACCTTGAAGAAAGAGTTTACATATGGAAAACCATAGGTAAAGATGCAATCTGGGAGGAAGCTCCATCAAGTGAGTGGGGTTTAATTCTAAGAAGGCATGTGCAGCCCTTGCATTTTGCATGGGTGTTGGTGTTAATACTCACTGATCTTTTTCTGGTACATCATTTAGCAGCAGTGAATCTATTTTTGCTCTGAGCATCTAAGCTTGAAGAAATGAAGTTAGCTTGGGTACAGTTCTATACATGCCCATTCAGAAATTAATCCTATTGATTTCAGTAACATTTGTTCCTAGGTCAGTGGGTATAGGATTGCAGCCTAACTTTGAAACTTGTTTCTGGTAACATTGAAATTGGCTTGGCCCAATTAAAGATACTTTGTTTTTCTCTTTCTTATTTGGGGTATTCCAGTGTTTTGGTTGAAGATTCTGATTTTAGATTTATACATTTAACTTCCAATGCATTAAAAAACTATTATGTTTGGGTATCCATTGAAACAATTTTTATTGTAGCATAGCTTGTTCTTGAAACACTGCGGAGGAAAGAAAGAGTCATTTGAGCAAAACTGAGAGTGCTATCTTCACTTCACCATCAGGAAGGGAGAGTGTTGGTTGGCAGCCCTCTAGCATTTGATACCAATTCAATATACAACCCGATCTTCTATGCACTGAAAAAATAGCACTGCTGGTAGACCATTGTATGCGTGTGGCTGAGTGAGAAAGCACGGTTGGAAACTGTGGATGCAGAAAAATACGGACTCTTAGGATTCAAGAAGGGAACTGGTTTGGAGATGTGTGTGCCGGTGCGGCGGGGGGGGGGGGTCGTTTTGTGTCTGCTCAAGCATGGAAGCTTAGGAGCAAGTGTGGCAGCAGAGACAGGTTTTCATGAGTATGGGGAGCCCTTTTAAAAAAAATCTTGAATTAAATGCTACAAGAGGCATATAATGGCTCAGGGAAAATATGAATGAAGGTTTATTGGCATGATGGAGGATTTCAGCTTGAGGTAAGTATGCATAGACCATGTGAATACAATGATTGTGCAAACTTTTTAAAAGGATGTAAATAGGAGAGCTGCCAAAGTCCCAGGAACAAACTGCCGTTTGGCATTAATGGAGCCTTTTGTTGAGATGCAAAGGGTAGTTTCAGGAGAGGCATTGCCCCCCTCCCCACACCTGTACTGATGTTCAGAAATTGGTAAAGGTCAAGCCCCCCTGCAGTTCTGAAATTGCTTGGGCTCCCTCTTGGTGCAGAAAATGCATATATCATCTGCACCTGAGCAAGTACCATCACACCTAGTTTGGCCTCACTATGTACAGGGGCACATATGAAGGTTGGGCAAAGAAGAAAGCTGGCCAGAAGAAATTTGATGTGCTTGAAATCTGGTGCTGGAGGAGAGCTGGAGAATACCCTGGGCTGAGCAAAAGTTCAACAAATAGGTCCTTGAACTTTCCCTGGAAGTCAAAATGATAATGTTGTCCTTTGGGCACAGCATGAAAAGGGAGTCAGTGGGAAAGACAATCATGCTGGGGAAAATCAAAGGCAGATGAAGAGAAGGACCAAAGAAAAGAAGGATTTTGGCTCCATAAGAAACACCACTGTCTTGTGTTTACAAGGGCTGAGCAGGGCTGTCCAGGACAGAACTTTTTCGGAGGGCTTTCATTCATAGGGTCCTCAGATGTTGGAGACAACTTGTTGGCACTAACAGCAACAGCAACTAGTTCAGCCCTCAAGCTGGTTGGTGGCTTGGCTTTCTTCCATTTCATTCCCTTATCAGGCTTTTGCTGTAGCTTCTTCACTTTTCTGGAGCAGGCATATAGATTAGAGCAAAATGAAAGGACACTTGGAATGTAGGGAAGTGATTTCTATTCCTTCATTTGAAGGCCACTGCCTTGCTGAGCAGTTCTGCTGCTGTATTTTGTACCATGCTATCCAAGGGGAAGGTATATTTTGCATGCTCCCTAGGAGACTTTTCCAGATTGCCTTCATCATTTTAACAATATTTACTTATTTATCTGGCCAGGGCGACTTCTTTTTTTTTTCTTTTCCTTTATAACTTCTTTTATATCGTTTATATTTTTTATTTATTTTATATTATTAACTTTAATTTTATATTGTTATTTTTGTACTGTATTGTATTTTATTGTGTTGTAAGCCGCCCCGAGGCTTCGGCAAGGGGCGGCATAGAAATGTTCTAATAATCATCATCATCATCATCATCATCATCATCATCATCATCTCCCAGCAGTTCTGCAGCTCCAGACAGCAGCCTGTCCAGCCTCACTGCATTGCCTGGCCCAGCCTTAAGGCAGCCTATGCATGGCCAAGTTTCATGTTAGCAGCCCAAGCGACTAGCACAAGGTCTGTACGTGGTTCTCAAAAACTAGTAAAAAATTGAAGGTTACTGCTAAATTCACCCGTATCCATTCTGTATCGGGGGTAAAAACTCTGCAATCTGGAAAGGCCGCGTAACATCAGAAATTTGCAGATGCTTGCTTATTTTGTAGAACTGCTAGCAGAGGAAGCAAGTAATTATGCAGGACACTGGCTGTTGAAGTTTTCACAAGCTACAGCACACTTTGAAGGCAAGCTTAAAACTGGAAGGAGCTAAGGCAGAGGTAGGGAACATGCTGCCCATGGGCACCAGTGTGTTGTTATACACATTTCTTGTTGCCCATTAGAGTGCCCTGGCCCAGCCACTTTTTTCAGTTAACATATACTAACAGCTGGGATTGCAATGATATATGTTTCTGTTGGTGTTGAAGACTGTCAGAGGTGTCCGCAGTTCAAAAGTTTATATTCTAGCCTATCCCTCTTTTCTGTCGAAAATTATAAACACTGATATTTGCAGACTGCTGAATGTTTCCCTGAATACAACCTTCTGTAATCTGGCTTTGCTGGCTGGGGATGATCGGAGTTGTAGTCCACATAAATGGAGAGAAATGGGCTGGGAAAAGCTACCCTAGAGCAAGATTTTACTCTGGTATAGTGATGATAATTGTTTTTCTGACTTCTGTGGTGTTCGATGTTTTTGTGATTGAAGGTACTTGCGCAAGTTAAATGTTCAGTGATACACTAGCAGCGATGTAAGCAAAGACATCAGACATGGTGGATTGCTGCTCATACGGTAATGTCTGCTGCTTCTAGTGTAAAGATCATAAAATCATAAAAGAGTAGACTTGGAAGGGGCCATGAAGGCCATCGGGTCCTGCCCCCTGCTGTTGCAGGTCACCAGTTACACCATCCCACTCAGACAGATGTTCAGGTTCGCCTTGAATGTCTCTAGTGTGGGACAGCCCACCACCTCTCCAGGCAGCTGGTTCCACTCTCGTATTGCTCTGACAGTGAGGAAACGTTTCCCGATATCTAGCCTGAATCTGGGTTGTCGCAACTCAACTTGATTATTCCGTGTCCTACACTCTGGTATCAGTGAGAATTGATCTTGACCTGCTTTTTTGCGACAGCCTTTGAGGTATTTATAGAGGAATATCATAGGTCTGATTAATTTGGGGAGAATTTGTGGTTGTGGCTTGTGGACACACAACCCCAAGTTAGACTGTGACTCAGGATAGACTGAGGTGCATTTATTCAAACTCTTAAACCAGAATTGCTATATACCGGCCAGACATCATGCCTACTTATAAATGTATGTGACATCTCTGTGTCCTATGGATAGTTACTGCATAATTCATCTAGGATACTGAACATTTTCAACCTTTGCATTTTGTTCTCAGAGTGGAAGGAGTCACCTCCACTT